CAGTCCACTTTGTCTGGGTGCTCTAAACTCCCCTGAGTCTCATTAGGCAGAAGCACTTGGCTTCTCTAGTAGATCTTTGATGTGCACGGTCTCCCAACTGCTTTTGTCCTCCAGGTCAAACACTGATCCCCCACATAGTACCAGTAACTTAAGATACCTGCTCCCCAAATGTTAGCCAAGGGGTGCTATAGAGCTACAGTTTAACTCCTAGGATCACATGGCAGTGAAAGCAGACCCCCAGTCATACTTTGCTCAGAATTATAGACCAAAAGAGAAACCACAAACGAAACAGCTGCAACCTTATTTCCCTGCCTCTGTTTCCTCACCACTGAAGCATCCTTCCACCTAGGGTCAGGATCACTCTTCCGAACCCTGGGTCTTTTCAGAACAGCTCTAAGCTTAGTTGGTCCCATGGGGGAACAGCAGCCACAGACTACAAATGCATGCTTACCTCTACCTCTCTCGTGCCCTGTACTTCCAGCATCTCAGAGCCATCCTGGTTTATATGCCCCAGTTCCAACATATGGCTTCTCTGATTTGCATTTGGGAATTTCCCAATCAAACAACAGCTCCCTGAAGAGATTTTAAAAACAAGATGGTTCTCCTGGGCTTCAGCAAACCCCTTAGCACACCAACTGTTCAGTCAAAAGCACAGTCATTAAGGTTAACTACTCTCCATTGTACGAGTCCGATAACCACATGCTAGAGGCTTCATATGCAAAGGCAGGTACTCAGAGGCATTTCATGATAACAGCAATTATTTTAGGGTTGCAGCCATTTAATGTCAACCAGCACTCATAGGTTGGACGTGGGGAGGTTTCTCAAATGATCGTGGAGCTGGTGATCTGACTAGGAAGGGGGTCCCCTTGTGCATGAGGGAACCTGTCATTACTCACCTATTTTTTAAATATAATACTTTCCAGTGCTTTAGCCTGAAATCACATCCTGCAGGTGGGTTAGGTGGCTTGTAACAGAAGTCCTGATCAGAGGAATCAGTGATACAACAGCTGCTGTCAGTCCGAACTCCACCACTTACTAACAGAGACCATCACTCAGGTAGCCATCAGATGGTAGATGCCAACTCTCTCCCACCTGCCTATATGAAACGTCTGAAAAGACACCCAACTTGAGCAAAACATGCACAAAAATAAAGGAAGGCATTGATCTCTCAGCTTTCTATTGCTCTATTTGGCTGGACTAAAACCAGGCAAGTAAACACTAATCCCTTAGAGAAGAGACTTAATAGAGTTCATGATAGGAACAATTAGGGGGGGTGGTAAGGGGAAATAAAAACTCCTTTGTACTCTATCCGCCAGGGAGAAAACCAAGACAACCAGGAAAGGCAGTATTACATGTTAATCCTTTTTCAAGTCAACTAAGTAGTTTACAAGCACCATCTGAATTTTGGGAACCCTCCTGCCGTACATGCTCCACAAACATCAATACATCTTACATAGATACACAAGAAAGATTTAATGCTATAGGTAGCACAAGAAGCTCTACCGATTAGACAGGGACTTAATCCACCCACACATTGTTGTGCTCTATCAGGTGACAGTCTCCTGTTCTGTGAGTGGGCTCACATGCAGAATCCGTTTTAATCTACTCGCCCAGGGACACAGCTTTGTTCCATTATTTTACATGTGAACCATAAGCATAGCACAGAAATGATTTGCTTTCTCTTTCTTGTTCAGCTTCTGAGAAAAAAAAAATATTCAAATGCCAGAAATGCTCTGGGGGAAAAGCCAGCACATATTCAGTGGAGAAAGCATGGGCTGGATTCAGCTCAGATGGTGTGAAGAGGAGTCATCTCTCCCCATCAGAGGTGAACCTTAGGTGCCCAGCAGAAGCATAACTAGGAATTTTGGAGCCCTGGGCAGGGAGGTGCATGTGCATACACACGTATGATGGGCACTAGAGGGTCTTACCTCTCTACAGACAGGCCACTGGGCAGGCTGTCTCCAGTGGCTGCCATTCTGGTGTCCTTCCTAAATTGGCTTGTGGGGCTAGTGCTCCATTCACCCACCCCTAGTTACACCTCTAGTGCCCAGCAGGAGTCCACCCACAGAATGGCAGGCTACTGCCTCCTTCCCTTTCACGCGGGTTTCTCCTTGCACAGAGCCAGCTTCAGATTTCACTCAGGTGACCAGACCCTCAGCTGCTGTAAATTGAGCATGTACACTGGCTGCTGCAGAATCTGGATTGTGATGTCTCGAAAATTCCCTCTCGCCTTGATATACTGGAGTTAGAAGTACTTTACTGTCCCTAGGCCATTTTCATAGACATTAGGGCTGGAAGGGACCTCGGAAGATCATCAAGTCCAGCCCCCTTCCCCAGGGGCAGGAAGTCAGCAGGGATCATAGGATCCCAGCAAGATAAACATCCAATTGTCTCTTGAAGGTGTTCAAAGTAGGTGCTTGAACCACCTCTGGCGGCAGTCTATTCCAAACCTTGGGGGCTAAATTCAACTACATGAGCAAGCCGGAGTGTCCTGTGACAGACTTCAGGAGATTCAGTGGAAACTCCATTCGGATAACACTGAGCAGCAACACCCTGGCACATGAACCACTGCATCAGAACAGCCTGTGGGAGGTCATAATAGCAGAACATGATTAGAGGTCAAGAGAACAGGCCTTATGAGGAGAGGCAGAGAGGCATGGGACTTTTCAGGTTGGAGAAGCGAAGGCTCAAGGGTGATTTGATGGCAGCCTATAAGTACATAAGGGGTGTACTGTGCATCAGGAACTGGGAAAACATCTGTTCACCAGGGCACCTCACGGGAAGACAAGGTCTAATGGCCACAGACTCCTGGAAGACTATTTTAGACTGAACATAAGGAAAAACTCCTTTACCATCCGAGTCTCCAGAGTAGACTTCCCCCAGAAGTGGTGCAAGCACCTGCTTTGGATACTTTTAAGAAATGCTTGGATACTTATCTTGCTGGGGTGATCTGACCCCCGCTGACTTCCTGCCCCTGGGGCAGGGGGCTGGACCCGATGATCTCACAAGGTCCCTTCCAACCCTAATGTCTAGGAATCTATGACATTGGGTGTGTTTACACATGCTGATTTAAGATGCATTAGCCATTTTTAAGGTGCATTAAGGGCATAGGTCTACACGTGCATGCCCCTAATGCACCTTAAAATGGTGATTTTAGACTAATTACACCTAAATTTGATACCTGCATATCAGAAGGTAAGCAGGTATCAAATGTAGGCATGAATACTTAAGGCACCTCAAGAGATGTGTAGATGCCTTAAGGCGTCTTAACACCATGTATGTTGACTGAGTGGGCTACAGCCAAGTCCGCAGGGCCCCGCGCTGCCCCTGGGTGCCGCCAAGAAGAAGCAGTCATGGGTGCAGTTCTCCAAGGTGAAGACACTGGAGCACACCAACAAGTACTGCTGCTGCTGGAACCACTGCTCCAGCGTCTGTACCTTGGAGAAACGCCACTTCTTCTTGGCAATGTCCAGTGGCAGCACAGGGCCCTGAAGGCTCAGCTCTGGCCCATTCAATCGACATACACAGTCAACATACTTGCCAGGTAAGTGCTCATTGTTCACCATCCTCCCAGCCACTTTTCCAGGGTGACACCTGTCCACCGCCTGCAGGCCCCAGAGTGGCTGCACATGCTGGAGGTTGTCCAAGGTGCTGCCCAGGGCAGATTGTAAATGAGTTCACCCAGCGAGCCATGTTAAGGCACCTTATGGTGTGCACATATAGACATGTGCCTAAATCGCCTTAAGGTGCATGAAGTTTAGGAACACATAAATTCATGTGTAGACAGGCCCATTTTTACTTAGCAAGCATTTGGAGCTGCCTGACCTTTTCACATGTCACCCTGGGCAAGCAGTCAGCTAGCACCTTCCCTTGAACTGGAATCAAGACCATCACTACAGCCCTTACTCATGCATTAGCTCATTAATATCACTGGTAGTTTCTGGTGCCTCACAGATGCATGTAAGAGACCATCCACACAGGTCACAGAACCCTCTGCCACATGCTCCCTTCCTTCAGCTATGTGCCTTCCACAATTCCCTAGAGCACTTGGGACCAACCTTTTTGGCAGATGTCCCACATTATTAGCCCCGCACCCTCTGTGAGTGGCATAATCTGCTACTACACTGCCTGTGCGCTCCCTAATGTGCTGCGTGCCGCACATAGAGACTGCCATAACTAGCACAGCCACTCATGCCGCAGGTTGGCCACGATGTCCTATAGCTGTCCCATCTGCTGGGTGCCAGCAGGCCAAGCACAACACCAATTCCCCATCCAACTTCCAAAATCCCTGTTGTGCTGCACTCCCAAAAACAGCTGGGAAGCTGGAAGATCACTTGCATTACTCTTCTTCAAACCTAGGGCAGGCTTTTTGCACCATTTGTCCTGAACAGTTTGAGCTTCTCCATCAAAATTGTATCAGGACCGTTTGCTTGTTCTCCTCTGTCCTCTCTATCAAGTACTGATATAAAGGAGATTATATCTAGTTTAGATAGACCTCCAGGTTTGCCCCCCTACTTTCCTTTTATAGTGGTTCTTTTTAAGGGGAAAAGGAGATTAAAATAGCAAACATCCCTCCCAACAGAGTTGGACATGATTTCTCTCAAGAAAAGCCTTTCGTCAGTAAAATATTCAGGATCAGGCTCCTCATAGTCCCCTCTGATTTCCAGCCAACCTGCCATCAATGTTTATAGAACTTGTAACACTTAATAGATATACTATAAACCCAGACATGGAAGCTATTGAACAACTAATGCTGATTACAGCAGTGTCAGGATCTCCAGAAATGTAGACCTCCAGCCCTAAGCTAGTACAGCCAGTAAAGATAATCGTTAGGCACAAGGTCTGTTTAGCAAGGGGCAGCAACGGAAAGAGATGGAACTCATGCACTCCTGTGTTTCTTGACTTCTTATCCAAAAAATACTAGTAACAAAGGACAGACCTGGCCTGGATTGCCTCCTTTCTAAATAGTTGTGCAAGAAATAAAAATGTCTGATAATTACCTTCGGTTCTGATGGTGAAGGGAGAGTCTCCCAGTCGCTTGGCTGAAAACTGACCTCCCAGTGATGTCATTAAGAAGCATAGGGTGAAAAATCCAATTCCCAGCACAAATATCCTGAGGGAGGAGAAGAAGAAAAGATAAGGAGACGCAAGCAGCAACAGCTTCCCTGCTAACCAGGTCGCTGCCACTTATCAACAAATAACAGGGAATGGTCCTTTCCTGACATGCTCACAGGTCTGACTCCTAGCAGAGTCTTCATCACACAGACTCTTGAGCATCCTTGCACAAATCTTCCTTAGTGAACAGCCCATCTTCTGCATGAGAAAGAAGCAGAGAGGAATGAAGGAAGGGTTGGATCCAAGACGGTAAACTCTGCCCCTTGGCAATGATCCAATTCTTAGCTCTAATAGTCCCTTTTTGACTGTTTCAATGAGGGTTGTCCATAACACTACTGTTGATCCTTTCTAGAAACATGACACATCACACCAGCTCAGGCCACCAGTCTGAACTACAGTCCAGTTTCCCATTGCCAAACCATGGCCTGTAGCAAATGCTTTCCAGAAAGGTATAAAGCCTTTATAACTGACAGTGGTACAGTACAGTAGACATGTCTTCTACAGGAAGACATAGTAGCCATGTCTTCCTGACCCCAAGCACCAAGTCACTGATTTTTGTCCTGAAGCCCGAGGGCTAATATGTTTCATAGCTATTTAACCTATTGCCCATTACCCATATGAATGGCCTATCCTGTTTTGAATCCAACTTGCTCATGGCCTCCATAATATTGTATCATGCAATATAGACCCAAACTTGTTAAGTGATGTCTTGTTCTGTAGAATGATGGTACATTACCTCTTGTTTCCTTTGGCTGTGCCTTTGTCCCATTTTGGACAAGTAAGAGGGTTGTACACTAACGTTCACTATAAAGCTTAACTATGTTAGTCTGAAGTCAGGCAGATGGTGAGGCTGGGTGGCACCTTAGAGACTACCTAGTTCAGAAAGGCATGAGCTTTTATAGGCAACAATCTACTTTGTTGGATGCTATAGGTATAGTTAGTCTCTAAGATGCCACCCTGCTAACCTTCTGCCTAATGCTTAAACTCTTCAGTCCAAGAGGGCTATGCCCACACTATTCAACCCAAGCCAGCTGTTAGCAGGTAAGTGAGAAGTGAAAGGCCTTGCTTTCTTTGGCACCCAGGTCTCCTTTCACCTCCCTCAGAAGTGGTGACAATAACTGTACAATACCCATCCAATGCACTAGTCAGAGGCACACTGGTCTGGTCTAGGAAGCACAGAGTCTTGGGTCTGACACTAATTTTCATCACCTCCATGTGTCTGCTTCCCTTTGCAACCTCTGTGTGTCTTACTATTCAGACAACAAGCTCTTTAGTGCAGGGATTGTCTCATATAACATCTAGCAAATCAAACACCAATCTCTACTGCAAAGGCTGAGAGCTATTGTAACTTAATGATGCTCTCTTTTATACAGAGAAAGCCTCCAAGGGAGAGAGACCTTGCACCTTCCTTTGTTATTTACACCTGTGCCAAGTGGCTACAAGATATCACTCTATATGTAACTAGGCTACCATTATTTGCATGAGCTACCCATTGTGCCCAGCTCTGCATTTGGAAGACCGGCGAGGTGTGAGGCTGACAATCAGGTTGTGGGCCCTATGCTGGTCAGATTGCTGATCTTGACTTGAAACGAACACGTGCATGCTAGGCACTGCCATTCCCTTGTTCCTCTTATTGATTTCATTCAGTAGGATGTGAGCTGGAACAGACACTATACTAAGCAGATCCCTTTCCCTGTTAAATTAACAGAACATGCTCATTGGGACTATGAGTTGTCTGTGATATAGGAATAGGGATGGGGGAGGTTTCCATGGATTAGCGCTCTCTCTGTCTCATGCCATATCTTGTCCCTACTGGCAAAAGGGGCCATTCTTGTTTTAGAGCCAAAGGATTGGAACAGACATCAAGGGTCATCTGGTGTAGTCCCCTGCCCAAGCAGGGAGATGCATTCCTCCTAAGCCACGCCAGTGACACCCCTATCCAGCCCTTTCTTGGAAACCTCCAAAGGAAATTCCACAGCTTCCCTAGGCATCTTGTTCCATTATCCTCTAGCACTTGCTGTCATGACCTCTTCTCCCCCTGAGATTTGATCCAAGTCTGTTCTGCTACAAATAATAGCCATTGCCATGTGTCCATCAGAAGGAAGAATAATTTTATCCAACTTAAAAGAAAAAGCTTCAGCAACGTTTGACTGGAGAGAAGGGCAAATAGCTAGGGCGCCAAGTAAAACTGGTCACATGGTCAGTGGTGATCAAGGTTTACAAAAATATCTAGTAATTTTGTGCGTCCAAATATCATATTGGCTAATTTTCCACAAGCAGTTTTATAGCACTAAGTGGGCATCTAAAAACTACAACAGGCTATTTTTTTCCAAAGGTATAAAAGCTTTTGAGTTCAGCGTTCAAAGTATCTTTGAGAACCAGGATTAGAGTCCAGTTTGGGGTAACAACTCCCACAGACTTTGAGGGAACAAGAAATACCAGCATTAATCACTTTTAAAAATACTTGGCTGCCAATCACAGAAGCAAGGTAGATGGAAAGACCTTTTGGCGCAGCAAACGTGTTGGTGCGGTTCTCACTGGTGCACCTAGTTCTCATTAAGCTAGTTTTATTCTTCTACTGAAACTTGGGCAAAAATAGCAGAACAGAACAATTCCTCTCTTCACCACAGGCTGCAGTGCCTGGGGCAGAGCTGCATGAAAAATTTGTTTCTTTTGGGTCAAACAAAAGGTTGCTTTTTTACCTGAACAAATGTTCTATTTCAGGACTTTTTAAATTAAAAAGGAAACTTTGTGATTAAATCCATTTAAGTGAAGAGCTGAAACAGTTGTAAAACACTGAGACCTGATGGTCTGACTCGGCTGCAGCAGGTTTTTTTGTTCGATTCAGAACAATTGTAACGTAACATCTTAGTAGTTTTTCTACTTCCCTCCCCCTTCCCCACTCCCAAATTGGGGAAAGAGTGCCACCCAGATCTACCCACAGGCCTCTCACTGTATCAAGAGCAGACCACATTATTCCTCTCAATGCCCCTATGTCACAGCCAACTCAAGAACTAGCATCTGAGCTCCCAGCAAGATCCAAACGTTGAACAGCACTGGCTGATCTCATCACTCTTTTCCCCTCAGCCACTAAAAATAAAGCCTTATCCAGCACCACCCCCGACAAGCTTGATAGTTCCTGCCCTCATCAGGGCATTATCTTCTCTCCCAGGGAAGTCACCTGACCCTCCAGGTTGTCCTTTTTAGTTTGCCCCATGCTATTCTGAAGAACAACTTACCACAAGGCCAGCTGTTCACTATTTCCTTCTTTCACCCCAAAAGGGACCAGCTCTGGCTCCCTTACATACCAACTGCTTCCCTGAGCTACTACATCACATCCTACATCACCATACCTTCAACAAAATCCAAAGGAAAGCAACCCCTCTACCTATCCCAGGCCTCGGTCACCTTTGCCTATTCCAGCACTTGAAGGTGAGCTCAGCCCTACTGCAGCACTAAGCCCTGCTCTACTCAAACCTGCTGCTCCTCCTCAATTAAGCCCCTTGCAGGCTTTTATAATCCCTCGCTCCCTTCTCAGCTGGCTCTGATGATTAATAGGGCTCCATGGCCCTGGACTTTTACTGCTTAAAGGAGCAGGACAGTGCGTCACAGGCCCTGCAGGTGAGGACACTGATTTCTGTCCCCAGTGGACTAGCTCCTTAATATTTTTACTATTTATGCCCACAGGCCGGACTGAGGATCACAGGTCTCTTATGCTGGGTGCAAAGCATTATATGAAGGGGGAGAAGAACAAGAGACCTATACACAGCTATTAATGTGCTGTTTTGAACTGACTGCACCTTCAGTACCCTGGTATCCGATAGGCCTGTCTGAAGCAGCTTGTATTCGCTTCAGATTTGGCTGATTAGGGGAAAAGTGATTCAATTCAGTGATCCGAATCACTGTCCCAAATTGATTTGGTTGAACCTGATTCAAAGATTCAGCTGCTGCCAAATCTCTGAATCAGCCAGGCCCACCACGCTCAGCCTGGCAATGGCTGCCCTGCCTGCCCCAGCTCCTGGCTCTTTGGAGAAAAAAAGCCCTGACTCAGTGGGTGCTACCGGGCAGGTGATCCCCACTGCCCCACACTGCATGGGAGGCTCTGC